AGAGAGAGAGAGAGAGAGAGAGAGAGAGAGAGGTTCAAATGTAGATGTACATATATTATACGGACGTATGGACAATGTTATTTTGTGAGAATGACTAAGAAAATTTGGTGTTTATTAATGTGAATATGTCCAACCTCACATAACTATTATCATCATCGTGCATATTCACTAATTAAATCATTTATAAAAGTATTATGGACTTTATTTTTATGATTCTCATTCTGCCAGAATGTGTTCTTGATAATCATATTTATGTAAGAATGAGAATGAGTGAAAGACGATGCGTGAGAACAAAAATGAATAAGAATTAGTGACAATGCATGATAATGACGATATTTATGTGAGGTCGAATGTATTCGCATTACCAAACAACCTATTATCTTAGTTATTCTCAAAGAATATCAGTGTCCACACACGTCCACACCAATATATGTCATTGATATTTGAACACACACACACACACACACACACACACACACACACACACACATATATATATATATATATATATATATATATATATATATATATATATATGACAAAACAACTTAATTGGACTCCGTGGTCTATAAAATCTTATGGATAGGTTACAAAAAGTTTCTAACTTGTAAGAAATGTCCAAAATTAAAAATTTCCCCTGGATTTGGTCTCTGATGGATTTGAAATGACTATTTTACCCTTATAATTTATTTTTTCGTTTTCTTTATTTATTTTATTATTTAAATAATCAAAAAAATAAAAATAATATCTCACCCCACCCATCTCTACCCATCGTACCCCCACCATTTTTTTCTCTCTATAACTCTTTTTTCTTATCTTCTTCTTTGTCACCCTTCATCACCCTTCAACTGCAAATAAAAAATCACACACATATTAACAAAAAGAGTCAGTTGAACAAAACACTCAATCGGACCAAAATGAATCAATTAGACATGTTAAGAAACCTTCACCTTCTTCATTCCATGTTCTTAAACCTGTAAACAGAAAAATAAGATGGGTTTTCAATCTGAATGCGGAGATGTGTTTCTCATTTAGTCTCCATCATTCATATATGAGTTTCAAAGATATGGGATGTTTTCTCCATGAATTAGTAATCGATTTTCTAGGTTATTCAATCAGTTTCAGAGTTAATGAAACGTAGAGCAACAGGGGGGGGGGAGCGGCTGATTGGTAGTAGGTTGGCTAATTGTCAGCAAAAGAATTCTTTTTGTTTTTAGGACCAAAACATGATAGAATTTTGATTTTGGATATTTTATGCAGGAAATTGTCAGCAAAGTTTCAATATTTTCAGAAAAGTTTCACTTTAATCCAATTTTATTTTTTAACAAAAATGTTCTGATTATTTGATTTTACATTATAATATGTCATTTTCTGTTACAAATTGACTTTTTTGTTAATTTGAGACGGAATGAAATAATTAGGACTTTATATTCAAAATTTTCTTTTTAGACTAAAATAAAACTTTTTAAAAAATATTAGGATTTTTAGAATAGTGACTATCTCCTTTTCTACTAACTATAATTTTTTTTTAGACCCTATTCAAGATTTTTTTACAGGGACTAATTTTGAAGTTTTGTCTACATATATTGATGAGAACTTTTCTATACATAGGGTACATAGCTGACTGGACAGTAGATCTCTCTCTCTCTCTCTCTCAACACAGTGGTTTGGAAGTAGACAGTTCCAACGTGATTGTCAAGGAGAGAAAAGAAGGATTTTGAATGGTTCTTTAAGATTTTAAACAACACCCATGTATTTAAACCTGTAAAAGACAACTTTTAGGAAAACCTTTTTGATTTCGAAGGGGGAAAAGAGATGGGAAGTTGCGGGAGGAATGGAGCAGTAAGGCAATACATAAGATCAAAGGTTCCAAGACTTAGATGGACTCCTGATCTTCACCGGTCTTTTGTTCATGCCATTGATAGACTTGGAGGTCCTGAAAGTAAGTTTTTTTTTTTTCCTTGTAATTAAGCTCTAGTAGTTCTCCAATGGCTGATCATGGTGCTCTTATGATAATGATGGTGTCCGTATACGCAGAAGCTACACCAAAGCTTGTTCTTCATATGATGGATGTAAGAGGACTCACCATTTCCCATGTGAAAAGTCATCTTCAGGTTCTTTTTCTCATCATCCTTCTGCTTTTTATTTCTTTATATTCGAAAAAAAATACATCTTCCTCATGTGAAAATGTTTTTTTATTTGGTGTTATACAACCGGTTACAGATGTATAGAAGCATGAAGAGCGATGGAAATAGACAAGGTATACTTCTCTTCCATATATTCTGTCAAAATACCTTTTTTCTTATTCATACGACTGAAACACCATTTTTAGCCAAACTAAAAAATTCTTAAAAAGCATGTTCCAAATCTCTTCAAATTTACTTCATATTTATTATAACTATGGTTTTTTTTATTTTTTATTCTTTTCTATTAAAACAAGTAACGTATATATAGAAAGATCCCAAAAAAGTTGCCAAAATTGACCCATATTGGTTATGAGACCTGTTCAGTTGTCTGGAACGCCCAACTTGCAAGACATGATCTTTGTTTGCCAAATTTTGTAAAAATCTAAAGAACAACGGTTAAATTTGTTGAAGTTTTTTCAAACGTCAGATCGTCTTTTTGGAGTAGAATACATATATGCCTCCTTTTTTAACTAATGTTTCCCTAAATGTGGTTTCCTGAGTAAAATTGAGAAGTAAAGAATGGCATAAATTTTTAGTGTTTGTGTTTTTATAGATTCATCATAACACCATGTTTAATTCGTTTTTCTTATTTAATTTGGGGTTGTTTTTAGTAGAGTGAAAACACAAACACACTTTCTAAAATAAGAAAAGGCTTTCTCACATGCCATCTTTTTGTCTCTTTCTGTTTATTTCATATTGTAGGGACACTATTTGGTCTCACTTATGCCAACTAATAATGATTTTTGTAAACTTATCTTAGAAGATGAAGATCCCAATTCCATTGGATCACACAACAGAAGGCAATCTCTTGATGATCATCATGATGAGTGTCTTGATCATGACCATACCATTCATCCTCACAGCTTCATTTACACTCCCCCCTCTAAAAGGTTTGCATGCTCTTAATATAATTAACCTACAGTCATCGATGTTATTTCTTAACTTATGCATGGTTTAAAGAGACACAACAATGTTTTGTATTGTAGAAAAGAGCAAGAAGAATCAATTGGGAATCTCAGATGGCAGCAGCAGCAGCAGCCTCCTATTTCTTTTTCTTCTTTCCAACATTTTATCTTGCACCCCTCCTTTACCCATGTAAATCCTCTTCACCCAGAATCTGATTTCCTAAAGGTACTCTCTCTCTCTCTCTCTCTCTATATATATATATATATATATATATATATATATATATATATATATA